CTTGAGCTGAATAAAGATTACTGTTTTGCTACCTATCTTGCCGCGTCCTTCTCTCCGCCCCAAGATGCACCCTTTCCATTTCTGCCCTTTTACTGCTGACTTAATGAAAAAGGTCCCTTGTGGCATTTAGCTTCCTTTGTGAGCATAAGCTGCTTTTGACTTTCTAACTATTTCTGAAGACATTAGCTGCTTGCTGGTTTACTTCCTTGGCGATTCCTACCATGTGGCTGTCCCTTTTATTCTTAGATCAGTTGCACTTTTCCTCTGTATCCCCAATAATCTAATCTGCCTGCTCCATTTTTAAGCCTAAAGTGTTGTGTGAATTTGCCCATGTGATTAATGATTTCAGTGGCACGTAGTCAATATTATCCAGCCTCAAAAAACTATGCAGGATTAGACCTGCTTAGTACTTGGGTGGAAAAGAACAAGATAAAATCATATATAAGTTGATCTAAACTCTGTTTGCTGCATGGATGCATTTCTATAGTTTTCTTAATAACACTAGAGAGATTTCAGCTCAATTATTCTAACAAGGGAAGGTTATAGAGGGTGTTATCATATTGAACTGAGCAACAGGGGGAAAGTTGGAATATAAATATAACAATAAAACAAAACAATACAGTAGTTTGCCATTGGCTTCTTGTAAGACACTTATTTGAAGTTTTGCAGAAACTTAATGTTGCTTACTGATATTCAAGAAAGTCTATAAGACTGGGTCTTATTTTCTTTTGACTCCCCCCCCCCCGAGATAAGCACTTGGCCTTATTTTCAAGGAGGTCTTATTATTTTTGAGGTGCAGGAGGCGGAGAGCGTGCTCAACTCATGGCTGTTGCTGTGTTACAATATTTTCAGGGAGGGCTTTTTTTCAGGAAAACAGGGTACTTGTAAACATTCACAGTGCTGGAACATTAGAAATGCAGGCAGTCATCTTGACATCCCACAATGTTTTGGACCTGGTTTTTATGGCCAGTATAAATGTCAAGGTTCCAACAGATGACCTAATTAAATCATGAGCCTTGAGCTAAGCTTCAAAAGCTTGCCTTCCCAAACTTCTGAAACCTGATATCCTCCCAATTGCTCTATTTCAATTCTGCAATCTAGCTGATGTGATAATTGTGAAGTAGTAGACAGGAAATGTTAAGAAAACCTTTACTATACAGTGCAAGTTATTGATGAAACTTGATATTGAATGATGTGAAAACTTAGGGAATTGCAAAGGGATTCTTGGATTTTCTAGATCAGAGATGTCAAACTGGCAGCCCATGAGCCAGATGTGCCATGCGCAGGCCATGCTCACTCCAGCCCCACAAAGCCAAAAAAAATGTCATGATACATCACATGACGCTATCAAATTTCACACCTATTTTCTAGATTCCTATCAAGATTTGTGACACTATACCCAGTTACAACCTTTGGGTGAAATTCATCACACCCTTGACTTTGTAATATTTGACCACAAGGACACCACACAGAAAGAGGTGCACAATAAATGACATTTAATGAGGAAATACTTTATTTTACTTTTCAAAGAGACCATACGTAGAAATATTTTTAAAAATCCCACCTTTATAAGAATACATTTGGACATAGAAAAGACAAATAACATTCGTTTACACAGCACCAAACCTTCTAATGCTAAAAGCAGATATTTCTGTAACTTCCATGAATGAGCATACCACCTTCAAATGAGATTTCTGATCATTTTGCTGAATAAATTAAAGTTTCCCGGTATGTTTAATACTGATTTCTCCACAGTTCCAAGCCTGGGATTGACCATTTAAAAACAGATAGTTTGCATTATGTTCAGGAAGACTATATTACATTTTTGCCACCATGTGTCATGTCTCTTGGTCTATACATGTAAGGGGATGACTTGACTGCATAATGAGATTGGGGGGGAAAACACTGCTCAGAAAGAAATTATATCAGGAATCATTTCTGAATACTCATTTACATCTGTGTTCCTCAAACATGGCTGGGGGTTGAAGTCTATATATCTTAAAATTTGCCAAGTTTCAGAAACATTGTTTTATATTAGAAGCATGCAAAGTGAAAAGAACTTATCCCCTTGACAGTTACTTTTTTCTTTGTTTATAGGATGCTTTTTTAAAAAAAAATCTTGGATTAAATTACTTTTGGAAGATCTCCTCTCTGTAGTCTGAAGCTATAGAGGCAGCTATTTTATACTGCTGCATGAAAGATCAGACTAAATATGGCATTAACTACATTTATACATAATAAACTGTACAAGGAGGAATTGTTTTGGCCACAGTTCTCCCTTGTGCCCAGGTCAGTCTGTCCTACAGATGGATAGCAAGCATTTCTAAAACCAGAAGTAGCATGTATAATTTTATTTAGGTTATATTTGAGATTAAGCTATTATAATATCAGAACCTAACATTGTTCCTCTTAAAAGAAGAAAAGATAGATTGAAAGGAAGACCTTTATGGATTTTCACACTTTCATATCACCTGTTTTACTTGAACTCCCAAACTTGCCTTGACCTGTTTGAAAGAAATACTTCAAAACAGCAGCTGAAAGAACTCTTTCCTGATATGCATCTTCCTCACTGGCAGCCACATTGCACGCGCAGACGCGCGCGTGCGCACACACACACACACACAGATTTAGAAAAATACAAAAAAGGGAGACTTGGAAAATTCTAAAACAACAATACAACATTCAAATTATTTATTGGATGTATAGGTAATCCTTGACATATGACCACAATGGACTCTAGAATTTCAGTCATAAGCAACTGTGGTCATAAAGTAATGCACATGACCAGTCAATTTTGCGATTGTAAAGCAAATCATTGCAATCGTTAAGTGAATCATATAGTTGTTCAGGGAACCCTGCAGTTAAGCAAATCTATTCACTCACATGGCCACTTTTTGCCAGAAACCAGCAAAAATCAGAAAAACAGCAAAAAAAAAAATTGCAGTCACGTGACCAATAGAACACTGCAAGCGCTCCCCCAAAAATCAAGTGATTTTGAAGGAATGGTCATAAGTCAAGAATTACCTATAGGACAGAGGAAATGACAGCAATCTTAGGAGAAGATGAAGAAATGAGGACATCTGTTTCAAAATTTCCTTGGCTACTTCTTCATCTGGAAAGCAGTCCAGGAATCTCACAAGGCAGAGTTAAATCCATGAAATAACATTTGACAAAATAACATTCCACCCTCTTTGTTGTTTTCATAATGATAATGCAAAACATTTTAGTGCCGGGGAAAGGAAAAGCAATGCTGTCTTTTTCACTCAACAGCATTCCATAATCTTTTTTTGGTTCATAGGACTTAACACTTCTCAATACAGTCTCCCATTCTGATTGGAAAGATATAAAATCAAAGCCACATAGTGGTGTGATGTAAACAGATTTTCCAATGTGACACGCTTAGATCCGAAGTCCAGGAAGAATCTCTCCACAGGATGAATGCAACTCCTCCTATAATATGACATCTCCTAAGAAAGTATTTTAATAAAACACTGATGCCTTTCATGAAGGGGAAAAACCCATCCAAAGTCTAACAGATCCTGAGAGTTTTGCAAAGTGGAAATAAATATAAGGGTTGGTTTGTTTCCCCCCAGTCCCAAAGTAGTTCTGGCTGATTACTTGGCAGCAACTTGAGATATCATCCATTCCAAACCAGCAGGAAGGCTGAGTGGAGAAAAAAAAAAGATTAATACTACGGTAGAAAACCCAAAATCCACAATTCCTAGAAGAAAACTGATATTAACTTGGATCCTTTCAAGGGAGAAATCATTTTCTTCTTTTTATCAGAGAAAAGTCCAAGATCTCCCTCCAATGCTTACTAGATAGGAAGCATCAATTGACTTCTTTAAAGAATTGTATTGGAAGGCACATGACATACTGTTCCAGGTTCTAGCCTCCTTATTTAAAAAAAAAATTCTAGGTTTTGCTTGAATCTCCACATGCATTCTAAGAAAGATATCAGCTAAGAAAAAAATGTAGATGGTTTCAACTAGATTGGGGTCTCCAAACCTGGCAACTCTATGCTGGCTGGGGAATTCTGGGAGTTGAAGTCTACAAGTTTTAAAGTTCCACACTTGGAGACTCCTGAATTAAATGCTCAGGATATTTTTAAAAAAAAGGCAAACTGAAGTAATGGACAGCATCTGAAAAGCTAATGTAGTAACTTTACTGTTTTGCTGCTGGTAAATGGGTGTTTTCTGACCAGCCCCACTTACCCCTAAGCAACAATTATACCCAAGATATAGGCTAAGGGTTCCAGATGTGTTCTTCACTTTGAAAAAGATATGTTTTTGCTTTTCTTAATTTCAAATATGAGTTGAGTCCAAAGGATAGAACCAGTGGTGGGATTCAAATAAATTAACAACCAGTTCTCTGCCCTAATGACCAACTGGGTAGGCATGGCTCAATGGTCATGTGACTGGGTGGGCGTGGCCAATTCAACGTCACTCACATTGATAGATGCTTTGCCTTAGCTGTTACAATGTAATAAGGGTTAACCAGAGAGGCAGTTTCTGTAGGTAGAGCAGTGAAAATTAGGCCTGAAACAACACCAGAATGTTTCCTTCCTGCCTTCCTTACAAGATTAGCCCTGTAAAATGGAAAAAACCAAAAGGAGATTTCTTCCAACAACCGGTTCTCCGAACTGCTTAGAAAGTTAACAACCGGTTCTCTTGAATAGGTGTGAACTGGTTGAATCCCAATTCTATCCCACTGAATAGAACCATATTATGCAGAAACAACCAGAAACCAGTCTTTCAAATAGTCTTTCACGATTAAGGCTATCCACAGTGAAAATGATTTTTTCAATTAATTCTAATTGATTGGCCAATCTTTATGATACTTTGTATAAAAACATATGTTTTTCTTTAGAGAAATTATACATGGATATATTAAACAAATATATCTTAAGGAAATACTTTCTTTCCCACACCCCTCCCACATTCATACATTGTAGACAGCATTCAATGTTTCTAAGAACCGTTTTTAAAAAATCTATCAATTCACATTAGATGAGTTATTAAGCACAAACATTTCCACCCATGACGTATTTCAACAATATAAAATAGCCTTAATCTGTTTAATAGTGTTCCAAGGTTTCAATCCAGGCTTGGCAAGGAGATAGGAAAGCTGCATTGTGCAATATTGAATTTATTGGCCTAAGCCGGAACTGTTTTGCTTTCTATGCCCAATATAACTATGCCCAAGTTATGTTCCTAGCCCATAGAAGGAACATATATATTTTTTAATCAAGAGAAACTTGATGCCTTTTAAGATTGGCACTTCCATCTGCTCTTTGCTCATTTCACACAGTAACAGATTCTACAGCAGGGATGTTAAATAGATGGTTTGTGAATGCCACAAAAACCAATGGCACTGCACTGCTGTCCCACAACAAAGCCCATCAGGCAAGGAAGCAGCAAAGAATGAGGAGCTGCAGAGCTGCCCTGGTGGGATTTTGAAGGTGTTGAACCTTTACAGGTGCTGTGCTGGCAAGTAATTGCCCTGCAGGTGTGCAGAGACCGTTGCTGCTGAAATCACCATTTGTCAATGTTAGTTGACTTCAGGAATGTATGATATGATACGGGGGATAAAAATTGCAGCCACAGGGGTAAAATATTTTACTGTTATGGCAGACAGTATATTTTTGCTTTTATGTGTCATCAATAGCATCATTTGCATTTAATCTGTAAATTATTACTTATAAATAATAAATCATTTTACTATTATTGATGAAATTCACATAATTGATAGCTGTTTGCATTTAATATCTGTTGCATATTTGAATGCAAGGCATTGATCTGCAGCCTTAATGTCACCCCCCCCCCCCGTCTGAGTTTAAGACGCTCATTCTAGAGAAGGGTTGTGAAATTTAAGGCCCACGGGGTACTTAGGTCTGGCCCACGGGGCCTCTCTGGAAACAGCAAAGGACTGGCACGTTGTGCCTCTGCCATCGAAATCAGAGCTTGGGAGGGTCACACCCAGCCCTCCGAGCTCTGTTTTTGCTGGCAGAGAGTTGCAGGAGGCCATTGTAGCCAAAAACAGAGCTTGGGAGCCTGATTTCTCTGGCAGAGGATTGCAGGAGACTGTCACAGCAGAAAATGGCACTCAGGAACCCATTTTCCCTGGCAGAGCGCTCGGGCCACTACAGGCACTCCTACATGAGTTATGTTGAACTGGCCACACCCATCCTCCCCACACACACCCCACTCCCCCACCAAGATCAAACACAACCCTGATGCGGCCCTCAGTGAAATCGAGTGTGACACCCCTCTTGTAGAGAGAGAAGACGTCAGCTGTTCCTAGGGTATAGGAGAATTCTGGTTTACTGACCCCTCTCCTGTGAGTGCACAGCAACCTTGAATATGCCATGGGTGGTCTCTGATGGAGCTCAGGGTGAGGAACTTAGAAATTTCAGAGGTAGACATGGAATTTTTTATATCTTGCTTGTTGGCAAATATCAACACAGCTGCATTACGCAGATCCTGGAGAAAGGAAAAGAGAATAGCTATAGCATTTAGACTTATATACCACTTTACAGTGCTTTTACTGCCCTCTCTAAACAGTTTACAGAGTCAGTATGTTGCCCCCAACAATCTGGGTCCTCATTTTACCCACAGAAGGATGGAAGGCTGAGTCAACATTGAGCCAGTGAGAATCAAACTGCTGAACTTCTGGCAGCCGGCAGTCAGCAGAAGTAGCCTGCAGTACTGCATTCTAACCACTGCACTCCCATAGCACAATGGTTAGAATAGGTGTTTGCCTCCAGTTTCTATCATGGTTCATTCAAAACGAGAGAAATAATATGTAAAACTATCACATAAAGATCAGAACAGAAGACAGCCACAAAAGTGTGCCTGTGGCTTAGCATGAGGTGTGGATCCAAAATGATTTCTTTATTTGTGGGAGCAATTTGTGGATCAGTCTCAAAACCTGGATGTGTCATTGGGCCTGAGGATCCCAAGGAGGTATGGATCCTGTAAGTATAATTGCACTGCACTAACTTAGACTGCACTCCTTGTCCTTTTGTACTTTATAACTAGTTTTAACTGATTTAATAATGGTAGGTTCTAATTCTTAGCTTTCTTTTAACCATATATGCCCCCCCCAGCGTCATGTGCAAGTGATAGGCGGCCATATAAATTTAATATAAAAATAACAAAGAAAAGCATGATATGGAATCCAGCAACTGTGGTTTAATAAACCATTAATTATGGCCTACCACCATGACTACATTCACTCATAATTATTCTACAAACCATCATTGAAATAAAGCAATAGCAGTAGCAATAGCAGTTAGACTTATATACCGCTTCATAGGGCTTTCAGCCCTGTTTAAGCGGTTTACAGAGTCAGCCTGTTGCCCCCAACAACAATCCGGGTCCTCATTTTACCCACCTCGGAAGGATGGAAGGCTGAGTCAACTCTGAGCTGGTGAGATTTGAACAGCCAAACTGCAGAACTGCAGTCAGCTGTAGTAGCCTGCAGTGCTGCATTTAACCACTGTGCCACCTCGGCTCTATATAAACTGCTGTGAATTATGAATAATGTAGCTATAATTTAAAAGAAATTCTCAGTCATCCAGTTCATGGTTGTCGTGGGCCTGCAGACCAACCGACAAGCGTCTACTCAAATCTGCCAATGATCAGATGATCAGGACTGAGGGCCGGTTGCTGCAGCAGCAGGAAGGTGCAATTCTAGCGTTTAAAAGGTAATTGGTACAAGCAGCATTGTAACAGCAAATGTAAAAGATGCCCAGGAATATAAAATGTACGAAACAGGTGCGGAGTAATAACTGAAATCACGCACAACATACATTCTGCTTGTGGTAGCAGGCAAACTCACCTCGTGAGCTAATATCTTGTACAGTTCCTCTTTTGTCACTGTCAACCTCTCACGATCTGTGCTATCGATCACAAGGATGACAAACTGATCAGAGGGGGGAAAAACACATTTATAAACTTGATCAAGACTAAGTGAACAGAATTGGAGCAGCGGCTGGGTTCATACAACCCACTACAAGCACAATATATTGCAGAAAGTGTGATCTATAAACCATGTTTGTGATATAGCACATTGGGTGAGCTAAGCAATTTTATCTTACTCAATAAGATACTATTAAGCAAACCATTCCTGTGAGCCTAGTTTTCAAGTGCCAGTCTTTGTGTGCCCCAAACAGCATTGTTTAGGAGAAGCAGGCAATATCAGAAGGCATGGAGAAAGATCCTATCACACAGGAAAACTTCAAAAGAATGAAAAGTAAACATTTTTGACGGCTGTAGAAAACTATCTGTCTGATGGAAGGAAGTAGAAGACTAGCCAGGAGACAAAATGCAAGTAAAATTAAATAGGAGTATTTAGAACTAGAAATCTAACAGCAGCAGCCTCAATGCATGCCTCATTTGCTCACATCTAAGATTTAAGTTAGTATTATAGCTTAAATATATTGGTCAGGAAGTTCAGAAGTTTGGATGAGTGTTTCCTAAACCAGGTACATTATTTTGCACAAATACTAAGCTTGGCTTCATTCCAGGAACAACAGAGTTAAATAATCAAAATACATTCTTAACATCAGAACATAATTCATGGAAGCCAGAGAATAAAATAATTTCAGGGCCTGTCTGCAGAGGGAGGGACATGGAGCTCTCTAGACATCTTCCCCAGGGAGATTTTTAAAAAGAGATTCGAAAGGTGGGAATAAATTTCTACGTGGCAAATAGTGTACTGTCTGGAAAGCATATAGGAGAAGGAAAGAGAAGAAAATCATATTTCATATCTAAAATTGTCAAGAATTCAGTTTTGACATATGCAGAATGAGTCTCAACTTGCCTTTGTTGTACAAAACAGAAACCATAATACAATCAAGATTCACGGGTAATTCCCATCCCCCACAAAATGCATACCTAAGCAATAACTCTGCATGCGATCGCACAACATCAATATACAAGAGGAAGTAGAGTGGCAGAAAACAGCTACCAGAGGAAACCCAACTTAAGATCTAAGAGGTATCTGGAACATCCTTCCCACATCATTGCCCTCAAATTCAGTGGCAAATTTTACATTTTAGTTGTCTGGTTTTCACAGCTGAAAACAAACATGAGAATAGATACACAAAACCTCCTTTTATATCAAGGCAACTTGTGCCACCCAAATGGTGTTTGAAAACTAAAAATATATTGTTAAAAAGCATGTCCACTAAACACAGAAACATTGGCTGGAAGTGGCTTGAACGGTATTTCTGAATACCATAATTTCATGCTAGCTTTCACCAAATAGTGCCTCTGAATCAGCATTTCTCAACTGCGGCATTGTTTGGATGTATGGACTTCAACTCCCAGAATTCTTCAGCCAACAAGCTGGGGAAATCTACACATCTTAAAGTTAGCAAGACTGAAAAACCCTGTCTAAGCTGATGTCTTTTGAGACCTTTGATTCTGCCTCTGTTATCGATTTATAAGGGAGACTAGCATAGCCACAAGCCTTTTGACATTTCAATATTGATTAATATTTTGGGTAAGCATCATACCCACATAAACTCAACCCAGAATTAATCACATCCTAGTATGAATTCAGATTTAACCTATAAAGTTTCTCCTCGCACGTATGTGCTAGTCGTTCTCGACTAGCGGGTGGTACTCATCTCCGTTTCAAAGCCGAAGAGCCAGCGCTGTCCAAAGACATCTCTATGGTCATGTGGCTGGCATGACTAAACAGTGAAGGCGCATGGAATGCTGTTACCTTCCCACCAAAGTGGTCCCTATTTTTTTCTACTTGTATTTTTACATACTATCGAACTGCTAGGTTGGCAGAAGCTGGGACAAGTAACGGGAGCTCACTTTGTTATGTGGCGCTAGGGATTGGAACCACTGAACTGCCGACCTTTCTGATCGACAAGCTCAGCGTCTTAGCCATTGAGCCACCGGGTCCCTATTTATAAATATATATATATGAGCCACCGGGTCCCAATATAAAGCATCAATCAAGAGTAGTATATTAATTATATGTATTTATGATCATTGGCATTTAAGTTTTTTTTTAAAAAAATACTCTGCCCTTGTGCAAAACTGTAATTTTGTTTGTTTAAACTTAGCATACGTGGTTTATGCTTATACAAATTTGTGATCCCAAGAATTATTGCCCAAATTTTACAACCTTATGTGCTGCTTATGAAGCTAAGTGTAAACAAGAGAAGAAACAATGGATCTAGGATGGGCATTCCTGAAACCATATCCAGGTAACCCTCCACTTGTGATCATAACTGAGACGAGAATTTCCATTTCTAAGCAAGGCAGTTAAGTGAGTTGTGTCTGGGTTTCAACATTTTTTGCCACAATTGTTAAGCAAATCACTGCAGTTGTTAAAAGAATTTACAGTTGCAAATTAAGCTCCCCCCCATTGACTTTGCTTATCAGAGGCCGCCAGGGAAGGTAGCAAACTGTGATCACATGATTCTAAGATGTGGCAACTGTCAATTCTGGTTGCCAAATGCCTAAATTTTGATCATGTGACCTTTGGATGTTGCAACAGTTGTAAGTGCAAAGACTGGTCATAAGTCTCTTTTTCAGTGCTGTTGTAACTTCAAACAGTTACTTAAATGAATGTTTGTAAGTCAAGGACTACCTGTATCTCGAACAAAAACTTTAAGCAATTATATCTGAACTGTATATATATATATAAAATGACATATCTTTTCTGGTACAGACTTTTGCCCCCTTCTATGAGTAAGTATAGCTCGTATCTGAATAGCATTAGAGCCTGAATATTTAGTGTATGGTGTCCCACTAACCAATGACCAAAGAGCAAAAGGCTTTAATAAATGTAGATTATGGAATAATTGTAACGTGAGAGTCAGAGATGGGTTGCTCCCGGTTTGGCCCGTAGCAGCTGCGGGAGGCTCCTCCCACCCATCTGGATGCTTCTGCGCATGTGCTGCAAATGTTGCATGCGTGCACACACACTTGCCCAAATCGATAGTAAAAAAATTGGCAACCCACCACTGGTGAGAGCTCAAGAAACACAACTCTGGATCATTATCCTCCTCCCTATTCTATATCTATTTTACTTCCTTAACTTATTTACTAATGTTTTACCCAACTTACCTCGGTGTTGGAATAGTAGGTGTTCCAAGTAGACCGCAGATTTTCCTGACCACCGATGTCCCACATGAGGAAATGTGTCTTGTGCTGGATGATTTCTTCCACATTGCTCCCAATTGTAGGCGACGTGTGCACAACTTCATTCATTAGGCTGATGGAAGACCAAAATCATAAGGTGCTTTGTTAGTGCCCCATCCTCCCCATACACTTTTATCTTAAAAAAAAAAAAAAAAGGCCAAGATATTTGAGACAGTTAAGCCTTCAAATTGTTTATGTTCCATAGGATTTGGAAAAATTGAAAAAAATTACTAGAAAAAGTACACACAGGGGCTAATATAATAATCTTGGTTCTTGTTTTGGGGATAGTAAGAAACAGAACAGGGATGCTATAAATCTCTCATGTCCCTTGAACAACAGTTGAAATAGACATTCTCTGCTCTGTCCCTTTGAAAAGGTATAAGTAAAGGTTCCCCTTGCACATATGTGCTAGTCACTCCCGACTCTAGGGGGCGGTGCTCATCTCTGTTTCTAAGCCAAAGGGCCAGCGCTGTCTGAAGATGTCTCCGTAGTCATGACTAAAAGCCAAGGACGCACAGAACTCTTTTACCTTCCCATCAAAGGTGGTTTCTATTTTTCTACATGCATTTTTACCACAAATCCGCGGTAGACTAAAGAGCGTACGTGACATCATCACAGTGCGATGAAAACGGCACGCTGTGAGCGGTAAATTTAAAATTAACACAAAAACCTTACCCTAAACCCCCCCAAACCTAACCCTAAACCTAACCCTAAGGCTAACCCTTAACCTAACCCTAAACCTAACCCTTAACCTAACCCTAAACCTAACGCTAACCCTTAACCTAACCCTAACGCTAACGCTCTAAAGCTAACACTAACCCTTAACCTAACCCTAAACCTAAACCTAACCCTTACCTTTATGTGAATCGGCTTGCTTTAATTTTATTTTAATTTTAATTTAATTTATTTTTAATTTTATTTGTCGCGCTGCTGATGACATCACGTACGTGCTTTGATCGGGCGCGCTTTAGTGGACCGCGGTTTTGACGGGTCACGCATTTTTACATGCTTTCGAACTGCTAGGTTGACAGAAGTTGGGACAAGTAACACTCTGTTACGTGGTGCTAATGATTCAAACCACCAAACTGCTGCCCTTTCTGATTGAGAAGCTCAGCATCTTAGTCACTGAGCCACCACATCCCTATATCCGTCCCTTTAGAATACCCCAAATATGTAGCTTGTTCCCTATAACAGCCAGCCAGATTTTTAACCTAGATTTGGCATTTTTGTCCACTTATTGTCCTTCCCAAGGGCCTGAGATAGGGAGACATGGTTGTTTAAATTATTAATGTATTAATTTTGAACATTGAGATGTATCATAGATGTATCATATATAATACTAAATAATATTATGATTCTTCTTTGTTACACAGCCAAGCCATGTCAGATGTGGAAAAAACAGATCCACATGTAAAGGTTTAATGCAACTGATTTATTGCTAGAAGCCTACACCCAGGAATCTTCTCAGCTAACAGTCAGCATCTGGTTAGAGCTAGGTCAGGCTCAATAGTAATCAAGGGGAGCTGGACCTACCCCATTCATAGCTATGTAAGAACTCTAAATGGATTCCTTTTTTTTTAAACCTCTCTCCCTGGCTCTGCCATTCCTTCTTCTACAGCCAGATGTTTAAACTAAATTTGGCATTTTTATCCATCTATCAGGTCCTAGCCAAATATTTGGGATGTTATTATTATTTTAAACACAAAAAGGTAGGTCTTTTCTTTTTTTTCTGGATTTTTACCTCCAAAAATGAGAAATGTGCCCATATGTGTTTCATACATGATTAATGGATATACCCTAAAGGCAAAATGTGTATAAAACAGTCAATATCACCCATCAAATACTTTTGGAATTTGAATATATCCTAGACTACTGTATTACAAAGGAGTCACAATTTAGTTGTAACATGCAAAGTATGTGCTAATACAGTGTGTTTGAAACTTGGCAGCTTTAAAATGTGTGGACTTCAATTCTCAGAATCCCCCAAACCAGAATTTAAAAAGCACCTTTCCAGTTTATAAGTCCAACTACAGATTAAAGCACGGTAATCAGTCTTTTTGTGGCCAAAGTCACTCTTTTTTTTAACATGAGTTCTCCTGAGAACTTCAGGAAAGGGATATGCAGTAGTGACACAACGATATCACTAGAGACACAGAGGTGGATGTTTCTTAATTTTGGAGCTTCAGGTTTCATTTTTAATTGATTCACTGTTAAGTTTGTTGCACTGTAATAATTTAGAGGTTTGCTACAACTTTCTGATGGCATGACTCTGGTAAGTTTGGGAACTGCAAAGGAAAAAAAATATTACAAAGGTATGCAACTCATAGGATATGTATGAGCGTGCCTACTCCTGAATTAAACTCTGTTGCAAAGGAAACAGACCAAGAGATTTATTTAAGCGAGACATTGGATACTGAAAAAGGAGAAAGACGAGGAGACACTCACAACTGGTAGAGGATGGTGGTTTTTCCAGCATTGTCCAATCCAATAATTATCACCTTATGCTCTAGAAGAAGACAAGGTTACAATATTTTAGAGTTAATGTGGTAAAATATAATTGCTACTTCTTAAATTCACCCACAAACTGAATTACTGTTGCAACAATGCAATTGAGGAAAAGACTGAAGGAAGGTTTGCTCAAGACTAACTGCCGAACACATGAGAAAAATAGCTTGAATCTCTTATTTCCATCCATACCTAAACAAATATGCATGCAACTCATGTACTTTCTGTCTCCCTAACCCTTTTCAAATCTTTTGGTTGGCCTGTAGATTTATTAGGAATTCCTGAGTAATATAGATATAATGATTTGGCCTGGTCCATGCATTATGAACACAACTCAAGGCTTTCTATTATCAAACCATCAGTAATCCTACCAGTCTGAAATCAATTCAGTTGATTTAATTACAGCTTAATATTTTTATCTCGCCTTTCATCTTACCCCCAGGGGAGGAGTCTTCATTAACAAATGTATCACACATCCCTGGCATAGATGTCCTAGAACAGTGGTGGCTAACCTTTTTGTAGTTGCGTGCCAAAAGTGTGCATGCGCACTTGCTACAGAGCGCACATATTATATTGCCAAAAGTATTCGCTCACCCATCCACATAATCAGAAGCAGTTGTGAGCAAATACTTTTGGCAATATAGCGTACTCATAATGCAATGCGTGCATAAACCCTCATCCCCCTGCACATACACATGTGACCATCCCATGCATTCCACCCGACGCATGCATGAGCCCATGTAACCTCCACATGCACCCCATGCATGTGCGTGCATCTCTTGCATCCGCCCACTTCCCGCGCATGCGCAGCAGAGACACAAAAACCAACTGGCTGGCGGGAGGCATGTGTGCATGTGCAGTAGAGCTGAGCTGGGGTGATGGCTTGCATGCCCACAGAAAGGGGTCTGCGTGCCACCTGTGATACATATGCCAAAGGGTCGCCATCACGGTCCTAGAAGAACAATTCTGTAGCTAGAGGCTCCAAGCTCAAGTTGAGGCAATTAGGATTTTTAAAATCTGCAAATCTAGAATCGAATATCCATGTGACTAAGGTTTCCATATCTTATTTGGTACTACCTAGATCTAGGCAGGTGAAGGTTCAAAGACACTATGCTAGCTTTGTATAAAACACTGAGAAAATATCCTTGATAGTAACATATCCTTATTATCCCCTTTTTGTAATTTCTTAATACTTAATCCAGTGTTGAGTATTCTAAGGTTCTAAGGTAGAGATTTTCGTAAATGATTTTGTTAACAAATATTAATGACAACAATAATAATGAAATGATAAGAGATATAGTTGTGTGTGTGTGTTTGTGTGTGTGTGTGTGTACTGGTTGAACATAAGGAATTTGGATATAAATTGCAAACAGTGATTTGGGAAAAAAGGTTTAGAAATGTTGTTAAATAATTCTTATTTTGAATATGTTATAAAGGTGTAATGTTATTGGATATATAAAGGTTGATAACAATAAATTAATTAAGTTTTATAATTAGTAAGTAGTAATTTAGTAACTTTTAGATTGTTATGTTAAATAAATAATCGATAATGGCAATAAGGTACACATATGTGTTGGTTTGAGGAGAAGAAAATGGATATAAACAGTAAAGGATCTTTTGTTAACCAATATTAATGATAACACCTAATAATGGAATGATAATGATAAGAGATACAGTTAATGATATATATGTATGTATGTATGTATGTATGTATGTATGTATGTATGTATGTATGTATGTAATACCATAACAAAAGGAACTTGGACACAAATTGTGAACAGTGAACAGTGAAAAAGGGCTTAGAAATTTTGTCAACTTATCTTTATTTAGAATATGTTATAAAGGCTTATGGTTATTGGATGATTTTTGTAATAATTAATGAAATGCCATCAGGTGGTTGTGTTTTTAACTATGGATTATTTTATGCAAAAGGACACTAAAATAACTTAAGTCAAATGAGAACTATGCTATGTTGATAGTAAGATTCATTAAGAATCTTTGACATTTGCTACGAAAATAAGTAATGACTGTGGAAGAGATGCACGGAAGCTAATTGTAACCAATTGATACACTTTCTACAAGATGTAATGTAAGATGATGATTTTGTTGTTGTTTGTTTAATAAAAATAAAAATTTCTTACAAAAAAAAAAGACACCAGGCTAGAAACTGGAGACTGGGAGTTCTAGTCCTGCCTTGGATTATAAAGCCAGCTGGGTGACCTTGAGCCAGTCACTCTCTTTTAACTCTAGAAAGAAATGGCAAACCACTTCCAGAAATCTAGTCAAGAAAACTATAGGAACTAGTCCAGGCAGGTGCCAGGAGTCATGACTGATTTGAAGGCATCAAAAAGAAAGAAAAGGGAATACTAAACCTTTTTACTGACAGACCGGTGTTGGAGCAATATTTGTATCATTTCCTTTTTCTTGATTGTCTAGTTTTTCCTCTTGGCCCCTTTAATTTTTGGACTATGCTTCAAGCTTATCCTAGCTGGCCTTTGTTGCAAGTACTGAGGCCTGACTACACCTGAGTTTGATGGCTTCACTGTAGAAGAGAATACATTTCTCTGA